GGATAAAACCACTAGATATAAATCAGGTACTAATTCCTTTTATTTAAATAATTATAGTATCTTCCATTAAATGCTACATATCACAAAATTCTTTAGCATTTATTTCCAAATGTCAATTGAATTTAATTTATTAAAAACAGCGTTCACACATTCTATTAATGTCGTTAATTAATTAAATGTACTAGGTTACGTATCTTTAGAAATTCAAAGTGTAATATCATACGAATTATCTTATGGCTTTTGTAGTAGATATACATTTTTATAATAGATAGTAAGTAGCATTAAATTTCATGGAAATTAAAAACTTGTCAAATCTTACAATGATGCCATCACAAAAGGTTTATTTGTTTTAAGTATCAAAATAGAATATAAAATAATATACAAATGTCTATACAAAAAGTGTTACTATTTATAATTTAACTGTAATTTATTGCCAAACGTTTAACTTTCATTAATTTATTTTTATTTAGTATTGATTTTTGACTGTCACTAATTTTAAATAAAGTTTAATATGTTAAAATTGCATTATGATCCACAATTAGACTCAAGAACTAGATGTGGATTAATTATAATTTTTGGAAATTTCTACTTTTTCAGCCAGTTGTAGTTTGTATAAGATTTAATCACAAAATTTTTAGCCAATCAGTTATATTTTTAAGAGACGTTGTTTTGTTTTGCTCAACAATAATCGCATTTTCCACTCTATTATATGCCATTTCATCATGAACATTTCTATCGTTTCCCATACTGATAAATTTTATTGAACTATTTCTTCAGTTCAAAGAATCGTTGCGCGTGCGAATGAATCGAATGCTTACCGAAGTAAGCGAAATTTCGACTGGCACGCGGTCTACTTGCTACGTTCAAAATCATCATTCGAGATTCAGAATCATTCACCCAGGTATAATTTTATCTTTAACATTCGATAAAATAAAATAAAATTTATAAAGATATTAATATTTTTCTATATACATAGTACATTATTATATTTATCAAATTATTACAATAATTATTTAAAAAACCAATTTCTTCAAAACTATGGACCAACGGTCGGATATATATTGTTTTTTTTCGATCCAAAATTGCTTGTAAAAAGCGCATCAACTCTACACTGTCATTTGGTGTTTCTCTTGTAAGTACAAAAAATAGCTAAAATAGATAAATTTCTAGCAAATACTGCGATATTAAATATGTATTGCATCTAATCATATAGATGATACAGATAAAATTTAGATTTGTTATAAATTCTATGCGTATGATTCTATGCGTACAATAATATTCTATCAGATACAAAAAACAGCTATATAATATAATTCTAACTGAAACAGCAAAATATTTTTTTCATGTTGCTTACAGATCGATCGCCTACATGCATATGAACTATATAAGATTATGATTTGTGTTTTTAAAACAGAAAATTTGCATTTTTAAAGCAGAAAATAGTGCATGTAGACAATCGTGAAAATAATTTTTGTGCACAAATCAACTGTCGGCAAATATAAACAAACGGTACTGCCTCTTCGGAATGGTCTATCCATATTTATATTAAGAGATCCATATTTATATTTTTACGTAGAACTTTGTAAGATTATTATGGCAATGATTCAATAATCGAGATAACAACAAATTACTAATGCTCTACAATAAGTTGCTTTAATATAATTCATGTTTCCTGACTTATAATAGTACATATATATGAGTAATATACATACAAAAATAATGGTCAACACGTACATTCAAACTTAAAAATTCAAACTTATTACATATTGAATACTCATCGGCTTTTTATTTCAATGTATAAAACTGTGTTTGTCTTTGTCATATTTTCTAAGGAAAGCTTTGCCACAAATCTAAAATACAAAACATTTATGATTACGGAAAGGTAAAAATAAACAGTCAAATGAGAAATAATTAGAAAAAATATACTAATAATAATTTTGTAGCACGTACCTCGCAGACATACGGTTTCTCGCCTGTATGTATTTTTATGTGTCGTTTTAAGTAGCTAGGATAGGCGAATGTAGATTGACATTGGTCACATTTATACTGTCTTTGGGAATGAATCGTGTTTATATGATAACGCAAATGGTCCTGAGTTTTGTAAATTTTCTCACACATGGTACATTTGTAATTTATATCAATGCAATGTTTAGCCTCTATATGCCTTTTTAGAGAGGATTTGGAACTACAAAATGACCGTAGCAACATTTATCATTTGTTATCAATTAATTTAAGCATAGACATCGAATTACTAAATAATTTCTCTAATTTTTGTCATTCTTAAATACTCACTTAAATACTTTTTCACAAAGATCACATTGATAAGGTTTTTCACCTTTATGGATTTTCTCATGTTCGCGCAAATTCCCTTTTTTTTTAAACGCTTTATCACATTCTCCACATTTGTAGAACCTAACGTCAGTATGTACGTTTATGTTGCAAAGTTTTTGAGGAGATAAACTGTTTATCTTTAATAATAAAGAAGAAAATTGTTATAATACAAATGAAAATAACACAAACTATAATAATCAATGCTTTAAACGGTCTAGCTGGATCTTAAATGATTCTATAATTCTGTGTGAATTTATATACTACATATGTAGTCTTTTGAAACGTGCATCGAAATGATTTTTTAGTCTTTAAAACGCTAATTCTAAAATACTATAATATCACGAATTGAATTATCTAGCAATTTAATAATTTTAATGCTTTTTCGCATCTTCGAACGATCTTAATAATGCTGAAAGACATATTAGAATTTGTAAATAATTAATTCTTATTGCAAAAAATATTACCTCGGTCGGGAGTCGAATCCGGATTTTTTGCATTCCTGCGTCCTAAATCTTTATATTACCGAGATTAAATATGAAAATATTAAGATAAAATTATTTGTTGAGGTAATATAAAGTTATAAAAAATAACGAGTGAGGATTCAATAAAATAGCTAGACATTTAACTCTGTTATTTATCGATGATATAAAAAAGCGTATCGAATAAATTTCATTAACAGATTCTTTACTTTATTATTATAGATTAAAAACAGGACAAAACAATAAAAGAGGATCTACTAGAAAAACGATTTAAAAAGAAATTGTAAGCAAATTGAGCAGCTGCAGTTCTCCTTTCTCGTTTCCTAAAAAAAAAAAAAAATAGAGAAATGCATTTAAAAAATTAAAAAAGACTTTCTAATATTTATTTATAATATTTTGGGGATTCTGTTTCACAAGTGTGTATGTAAAATTGAATTTAAAAATACAAAGGAGAACTGAATTTTCTTTTTCTTAACGTCAAAATTGTCAAGCAATACTATTGTCTTTATATCTAAAGACAATATATCTAAAGATAAATGTATTAACAGTCGAATAAAAATAGCGAATGAATGAAGGCTGAGATGTGAGTGCTGACATCCCCAGGAATTCTGCCGTACTTTAAAGATCGGTCTCTGTCTATCTTGAGGAAAACAACGTCATAGTTCATGAGCGTCATGGTTGTTGCATGACGTTATCGTGAGCGAATAAATTTATGCCTCTCTGAATTGTCAAGAGAGAACATTCTACAATTATTAATGCTAAAATTAATATAATGCTAAAATTAAATATTAAATTCAAGATCATTTCCCATATAGAAACTTTTCAGAAATATCTCAAAAATGTTTCAATTGAAAAATGAAACATTTTATAAAAGTTGCCAAATATGTCTGCAACATTTCTGAGACAGCTCTGAATAGCATATCCATGATTCTTATATATGAAATCTTGTTAAAAGATTGCTGAAATGTTACAGAAAGAATCTGTGCAATCTTTTTGAAATATTATCAAAAAGATATCAGCTATTTCTAGTACTTATGTCGACATAATAAATTTAAATATTATTCTTGAGACTTCCAATGCTTTCTATATAAAGATTATGCGTTTCATGGATTTTCTTTGTGTCCAGATCCATACTGATATCAGGCTGCTCCTCGCTCTGATAAAGTGGACTGCAAGGTTCATGAAATGTTGATATTCCAAGAATGGATCTGGACACGAAAACCCGCGAAACGCATAATCTTTATATAAATTTAAATATTGTTTAAATAATCAATGAAACATATAATAATTTATATATCAATTGAAAAAAATAAAGTGTCTATAAAAGGGTAATAAGTTTAGCACGCTGATAGTGCAACTAGATTTTTATCGGTTATTTATTTCGAGTGGTAACCCTTGGAATAATCGACATTGGAAGACCTTAGAAATTTTGTAACGGAAGAAGAATTTGGAAGTTCATAGAACAGCGTATCAATATTAATAATGAAGACTAGAATTATGTTATTGTAAGTTTTTGTAAGTTATTGTAAGCACTGAGAATGATTCTGTGAGAACCGAAACGTGAGGAGAGAATTATTTTATTATTAAGTGTTATTATTAAGTATTAAAGTAAAAATCTAGTTGTAAGTTTTTGTAAGTTATTGTAAGCACTGAGAATGATTCTGTGAGAACCGAAACGTGAGGAGAGAATTATTTTATTATTAAGTGTTAAAGTAAAAATCTAGTTGTAAGTTTTTGTAAGTTATTGTAAGCACTGAGAATGATTCTGTGAGAACCGAAACGTGAGGAGAGAATTATTTTATTATTAAGTGTTATTATTAAGTGTTAAAGTAAAAATCTAGTTGTACTGTCAGCTAAATTCATTACCCTTTTATAGACACTATATTTTTTCATATTATATTTTATTGAGCTTTTGGAAACTTAGTTTTAATTTAAATATTATTTCTGAAGTACTTAAAATTTATTAAGAGTTTTGTGATCTGTTTACAGATTGAAATAAACTTAAAGTATTTTTCAAAAATGCTAATTATCGCCAACTATTTTGATTAATTGATCACTCAAACAGCATCGATTGTTGCAGAAAATTTTCAGAAATGTTTCAACATCTTTCACATCTCATATGCAACAATTAAAAGGCAATACGTGAAATGTCATATGAAATGTTTTAACAGAAATGTTTCTAAAAATCTATCATATGCAATAAATTCAAAAACACATTTAAACAAAACAAAAAAATCATGAAAATCATTAAAATGGTTCCAAAATTAAAAGTTTACTAAAAGTTTACTAAAGGTCATTTTTTTAATCAATCACGATTCAGTTTAATGTTATTTTGATATTATTGTGATTTGTTCTATTTTAATTGTAAAAAACTTTTGTATATGAATAATAAGACATTTACAACAATGGATGGAAATCATTATATATTTTCTGTTGCTGTCAGGTTTTCATCATGATACGGTACTCAAGATGAAACGATTAATTATTCATTACTAACACGTTGCTGTATTGTGTCACGCGAGGATTAAAATAAATTAACAACTCGCGGCGTTTCTTCCCTTGTAGAAGAGAACTACTTTATTTGGCAAATGATGAGAACTACCTTGCACGCAGCCTCTTACAAGTTCAACCATCTTAACTTAACTAACAACTGCTCCTAGTGGCGAAAGAACAGTGCACAAGAGGGACTACACTTCAATCACGCCATCTAGTGAATTTCATTGTCGTGGATTCCCATAAGGCGCTATGTACAAACTTAAAACCAAATAGCTGTTATGTTGCCGACATATAATGTGCCATCATTGTTTACAAATCATTTGCTCTAGAAATTTCGACAACTGATTACATATACAGGATATCCGGAAAATCGTCCACAATAGTTCGGGAAGTGATTCCGGACCCAAAAAGGAAAAAAAGCTATTTAAACATAGGTCCGGAAATAAGTCGTTTCCGAGTTATAATCATTTTTATGTGAAAAAAATTGTAATTTATTTTTCATAATCATAATCATAATTTATTTCATAGTGTTTTAACATACATAACTACATTTCGGACTATTTGACGTTACCTAGAATACACTATATGGAGACATAATCCGTTTGCATTCCTCTTTTTTTATTCTCTTTATTTAAAATTTTTTTTATTTTAGAGAGATGCCAAGCGGATTATATCTCCATCCTGAGTGATGCCGAAATGTAATTATTTATGTTAAAACACGTGTTTTAATATTGGAAAATTAATGTATAGCCAATATTGGCCAAATATTGGAGCCCCAATATTGGTCCAATATCAGAAAATCAATGTACAACTAATATTGACCAAATAAACTTTTTTTGTAAATAAAATAAAGTAGAAATATATCCAAGATAAAAATATAAAAAAACTTAAGTTCTTAATTTCTTAATTTTTTAAATTTAAAATTCTTGAATTTTAAATTAATTTTTCTGTTATCTTTTCAAATGTTTTTTGATTTAAGTTAATACAATATACAAGCATATCCGGAATAACTAATCTCATTAACAAAGCCCAATCACTTTAATTCATATAACATAATTTGCAAGTATGGTTTTCCGTGAAAAAACATCTCGACAAAAACTACTGCGACAGGTAAATCGCCCATGATCCTAAATTATTCATCGTTCTCTATTGCAGAGCCGGGGAATCTTTGGCAGGTATCGCACGATCCGACGCGACGTCGATGAAACGCAGAAAAGTCTCATCTATCATGTCGAAACACGTAACGCGAAAATAGTCGCAAGGATACGTTCGGGGCTGGACTTGGCGTTAGATTCACGCGAGTGTGCGGGACTATGCGAGTTATCGGATTCCCAAGATTCCTGATAGTAACAAATTATAGTAGCACGCTGTGGATTGGTCTCACCAATTTTGATTAACTGAATCAGTTGATAGCTCACAATCATTTCCAAAACTCACGGTTAATTCTTAACTGAGGTTCAATTTATCTTTCATCTTTTTTCAATTCTAGAATTCGTTAAACCTCGGTTAGAGTTATGGCGAATTCAATTGGAAGCACTAGTATGCACTAGTACATATTAAAATTGTTGTACACTGACTTAATTTGAGTATAAACATAAAAAAATTTCAAATTATGAAATATTAAATACTAAATATTTTTACCCAATAGTACAATAAAATGAATTGAGTATTTCACGATTTAATTGATTTTTATGTTTATTTATAAACATATCTTTACGTTATTTTGTGTACAACGTTTAATGCGCACCAATGCGCACTGAGTGCGTCCAGTCGAATTCACTATTAGTTACTTGTGAAACTGAACCTAAGTGTCAGTCAATTCTGATGAACAGCAAATGAGATTGATCAGTTTCAACGAAGGAGTTTAATAATCACTTAATGTAATTATTAGACAAAGTTCTCAAAATCATTATAAAATTTATGAAATCTCTATATATAATCCGATAATTATCATATATAATTATAATATGCAATCACGAGAAATCACATGTATAATATTAAATAAAATTGTATATTTTACCAAAATATTTCATATACGTGGTGAAAAAAATGATTTGTAATCATATGAACTCAATCTGTAATCTGTGGGACAATATTTTAGTTAATAGTTATCCTCTCGATAACTATTATCTTCCAATGTAACAATCAATTGATTAAGTTAATCGGAGTTGATGAGACCGGTTTCGTGTTATTATCGCGATGTTATCACGCGATTATGTCACAGACAGATCACTTGGATAAAAATGAAGTCAAGAGATATGGATCGGATTACCTCGAGATTGTAGACAAATTCGCAAACTCTATGATTTTTCTATCATTCCTGATTTTATCCACATTTATAAGAAATTTCAGCTCAGAATATACATGTCTTCTAACTTAATTTTATCTTTTTATTCTGTCTCGATATATATTTTATTCTATTTTCATATGTGAAAAAATCAAAATTTACAATTACAAAATTAATTAATAAATGGAAATTAATTATTTAATAAAAGACTTAATTAATTCTTACGTAAAGAAAGATGCATTTTTTAAAGACTACGTTTCTTGATACGGCCAATCGCATCAGATATTTTAACCATATAATAATAAATATAGATATCTCTGGAAAATCTACGTATTGTGCTTCATTGGTTTGCCAAAGATATTTCAAGCGGGAAAGGGCAAAGTAGG